TGCTGACCCTTCTGTGGCCTGTTGCTGAATTCAGCAGTGCTCTTTTTCATTATGATAACTGGCAGAGCAGACTGAAACTCAGGGCGATCCCTCTGCACCACACACTCAGCTCAATCCCGTCCCACTACAATGGAACTAGTATGTGGCCAAGGGCGTCTACGCCTTGATAAATATGCACCGATGCCTCAAAGAAGATGTAGTTATTTCCACCGTTTTGTGTGGGAGTGTAAATTTATGTGCGTAATCCCTGTGTACTATATCAATGCTCCTGGTCAAAATAAGAATGAATATTCACACATGCGTGCACTCAAACGGCTGATCTTTTTAAAGTCAACACACCAAGATTATTACCATTTCTGCACATATACAGTATGCTGCAGATGATGCAACCTCAGAGCAGAGCCTGAATGATCCAGGCTGTGCATATGCTGATTGCAGATACTAAACATAAATCTCATATGAAATGAAATGTGTTTAATTCACACTAGGAAAAAGGTATTGTCTTTTTAACACAGTAAAAGCAACAGAATCTTTTCAGCATCTGAGCATACAAGGTTAAATGCTTTCTCTTTTTGAAGGTAACTGTAAAATCACTTAAAAAAAAAATTATGATTCCATGGTGTTTGCCATCTCACTTATATTTGTTCTACAAAAATGTAGGTGTTTTGTGTAAGATATGACATGCAGGCATTTAAGAAATTAAGACAGAAACCTGTATGCTCTAGTAAGGGGATTACTAAAAAAGAAAATCCAACTTAAAACAGAAACCTTACAGAATTTAATTCGTCTTCTTCCATTCATTTTGTTCAGCAGAGTCAAAATTTTCTCATCTAAAATTCCAGATTAGTGCATCAGGTGTCACAGTGCAACTGACACTGAAGACAGGGGCTGAATCTGTGTACATTTCTACAGTAAATGTACCTCTTCTAGCTGTGAATCAGAAAATGTCCCCATGCCGCAGTAAAATGACTCTGGCTTCTGTCAAAGACACCCACGGGACTTGTTCCATTATTCACTGTCTATGGAGCACCTGTGGTGTTCGTGCCTAGATGACATCATCATCTCTACTGTCAGCCTCTCTGTTATAAACAGCTTACGGTAATCAAATTCACAAACTAAACTTAAACTTGAGAGGTGTTACTGAACTGTGTACAGTGCCACAAAAAGTCCAGCACTCTAGCTCTAAACTTGCTGATCAGCTTTGGAAAAGAGTCAAACGCCTGGGGCCGAGGCAACCCGAGGAGGATTTGTGTGCTTGTTCTGGTCGTGCCCTGTCATTCAGTAGTCTTTAGGACTTTTAGATGGATTCACATGAATCAGTGTGAACCTGCATGTCAGGACTGCATTTTGAATCAAGCTCACCCCATCCTATACACATCAGACCGAGTGGCCCCTTCTTAGTCTGTTTGGTCAGGCACAGCAATGCTAATACAAAGACGGGTGCATGCAGGTTACAACTGTCATAATCTTATTAGAGATTTCACACTGACTGTCAGACCTGGTGAGCGTCAAAGCCGCAAATTTCAGCATTTACATTCCGCTCTCAACTCCTCACCGCCATTCATTTTACATGGGCTTGAATACCAGAGTCACCCCCTGTAGATTGATTTAAATTTTAAACTGTGTTATGGAGAATCTCCCCCATTTTTTCTCTGTAATTCAGATTAACATTTCAGATGTTCAGTATGGAAAACCCACCTCATTACAATGTAAAACACATTATTACTTGTGCCAAATCTGTCAGTATAGGCTCTATACTGGCTTGTAATAGTTTGTAGTAGATTTCCCTGCCTTGACATAAACTCTGTTCACCATTATACTGAATTTTGGGTTCAGTCTTGACACAGCTTTGTCCCACACAACTTTCAGGGTGCAGTGTTTTACAGAAGTCTTACAGCACAGCAACTATAACATTTGACTGTAACCTTGACTAAAGACACTAATCAACCAAATTACCTGAATAATAAATGTAAATAGAATATTTGGGCAACGCACTGACCAAAATATCTGTAATGCAATGAGCCAGGACATGACTTAAAATCATGAAACATTTAAGCAAAAATATATATTTTCATTCTCTAAACTGAAAAACATATATAGTATTTTATTTACTGAAATATAACATGGGAGGACTTGATCTACAAAACAACAACAAAAGAAGAGTAACACAACTGAAACGTCATTCACAGCATAATCCTGAAAAACCTGGTAGAAACAACCCCCAAAATTCTAAGTACTAAAACACAGCATGATGAATTCACTCCACATCTGCGTAAAAACAGTTTAGACCTGTAAAAATTTCCAGCTGTGCTGGACAGCTGTTTGGGCGCTGCATTAAGAGGACTTGTTAGTGAAGCTGTTTCTCTGAAAAACACATTGCTGGATATCCTTTTTTTTTCTAATTTAGATCCTATGAATATACTATACTTTAAATTCCTGCCACCTGTGAGCTTGTATGTTGTTTTTGATGCTTTATATTGAGTACGGCGACTGGTTTTGGGGAAGAAATTGGCTATTGATTTAACAAAAACACCCTCTCTTTTACTGCATCATTCTCCTGGAATGTAGTTAAAAATGCTTTTGAATTATTTTGCACTAAGTGGATGAAAAACGCATTAAGTAAAAATAACTATTGATCTTTTAAAACCATTTTAAAGTCAGTTATGTTTTTGTGTTCACCATTATTTTATTGTTTTGTGCTGTTTCTTACATTCAGATGTCTTCATTTGGTTTTAATTTTAAAGGGAAAATTAGCTTTATACATTACATTATTTCATGAGGATAATACTTCTGTGATATTGGGAGACATATATGACAGAGAAGTGGTACTTCTTTATGTTTACATTTGAGCTATATTTAAACTAGATATGAGACATACATTTGCTTCAACAAATATGATGACCTTTACACAAATGGCCCTGTCCTCCACAGTCAGTGCTTTATGCAGATTACAAATGGATGGCATCTTCACAGATAAGCAAATCCTTTAATTCCTTAGCTCAAACTTTTCAACACAGATCTTCA